GATAAATTTCTTTATTAGCTCTAATAGTTTTATAGGGGAATTCTTTAGAATTTCCTAGTTATAAGATCATATCTGCCAATAAATATAGTTTTACTCTTTTAATCTAGATACTTTTAAATTCTTTATCTGCCTAATTGCCTTATCTAGAATCTCCGATAGAGTGCTGAAAAGAAGTCAAAAGTGGACATCCTCATTTTATTCCTGATCTTAGGGAATTGAACTATATTTTTAAAGAATGTAGGCAAATAGTTATTTTTAATTTCTTCATAAAATCTGCTTATTTGTATTAAAAAAAAAGAGTGAAGGACATTGATTTCTTAATTAAAAATCATGTGTTTAGAAGTTCTGTTTACTCTTTATAGTTTAAGACATGCTGCCTTTTATTTCAATTAGGTTAAAAGAAAGCTGTACACAGATTTAGTCATGGGCCCTTAATTTTTCCTTTGAGAAGGGTTACAACACACACTGCCTTTTCCAGAAAGGTACATCAATCAAATACACAGATACAAGGTTGTAAGGCCCTAGTCATGCCTTCTGTCACTGTCCACCTCCAATCACCCACAGAAAAACCTTGACTCCATATCTTGACATAATTCTGGATAAGAAATACAGGTATATGAAACTGACCATTTGATGTCCTAAAATTTCTGTCTCACTGTAATAAAACACACACACACACACACGAATGTATGGTCTGACTCAGAAAAGGGAGAATCCCAAATTAGGAAGTACCTAAAAATAGTCCTGTATTAGACTATATTTCCAGTGAGTAGTATTTCCTTACCTTTCTATACTGTTATATAGGAATGATGCTGATGAAAACCAGCAGTTACAGATGTTTGTTAAAAGAATGAATGAATACATAAACCGATGAGCCATATTCCTAATGTATTCCTTCATTAGGTGAGCTCTTAAACTGAGTGCCTCAAACACTGTCAATAGCAGAGCCCTCTCTTCAAATGAGATCTTATCAGTAAGCCTCTGTCTCTAGTAATCATGAAATAGGTAGAAATTAGAAAACAGAACATAAAAAAGAAACAAGATAAAGTTAACATGTGACCTGGAGAGAAGGCTCACACCCTGCAAAAACAAACAATAATGGTTCCATATTTCATTGTTCAAGAAAATACCTAAAAACAAGTTTTGCTTTCTCCTTTACATTTTAGCCAATGACATTTGCCTAATAGTTTTTGGAATTATGACCTCAATCATTAACCTCAATACCCCCTGTGTATACAGCACACGCATAAAGAAATAAAATACACTATGTGAATGCTCGTAACACTTGAGACAAGTTTTCTATTCTTTTTCATTTACAACATCTTTAAAGTTTAGCTCAAAAACATAACAAGATTAACATATTGTGGTAGGAGGAACAATAGCACTGGAAGATATCCAGGTTCTAGTCTCTAACCTGCGAATATTACCATATGTCCCAAAAGAGACTTTGTGGTTGGGATTGTTAAGAATATGGAGATGGGAAGGTCATCCTGAAGTATCAGCACAGGGAGGGGAACTATAAGTGTCTTTATAAGAAGGGAGAGGGAGATTTGACACAGAAGAACATCATGAGACACTAAAGAGGCTCTCCCACAGCAAGAGGCAGTGAGCCAAGGAGTGCAGCTCTAGACTCTGGAAAGACCCAGGAAAAAGATCCTCCCTCTAGAGACTTTAAAGGTAGCATGGCCCTGACTATACCTTGATTTTGATTCAGTGAAACTTACTTTGGATTTCTGACCTCTAGAACTGTGATAGAATAAAACTTGTGTTTTAATCCACCAAGTATGTGGTTTTGTTACACCAGTCATAGATAATTATTTTATATATATGTATATTAAAATTCCTTATGCATAGGCACAGGTTTACATTCTGTATTTTGTTATAAAATATTGATAAGCTGACACTTTCCTAGGTGTTTATCAGGATAGAATGAGGTCGACACAGCCCCTCCCTTAGGAGCACTCTCCCCCCCCCCATTCTGGCAGGATGGACTACCAATAAAGGAGGTAAATGAAATATAAGAAACGCTAGGACTGGGACCTGTGTCTTGATAAGGGACATAAAGCAGATATGCTCAGCTCCTGATGGGTCCTAAAAGATGGGGAAGGACTCACAGCAATGCTGCCTATAATTTCCCAGAGGAGGTAATATTTCTGATGTAAGTCCAGAGAGGTTATTAGGAGTCAACTAGATACTTAGGTGGCAAGGAGAAAAAATTAAAGTCATAGCAGAAGTAAAGTGTACAGGTACAGAAAGCAAAAGCCCCATGAGAGGAAATGGAACATAGTGAGACGCAAAATTCGAAGACAGCTGGAGCTCAGCATGCAACGGGAGAGGGCGAGGCTTCAGGGGCCGAAAAGGGAGAGTCATGAAGGGCTGGCAGTCACGCTAGGGCATCTGGACAACAGGGTGACACTGAGAGTTCAAAACTTATGTGAGCAATGATCAGATTTGTCTTTTGGACAGATTTCTCTCATTGATATAGGAGGAAAGGATGGCAGGAGGAAGGGCTGAGCGGGGACTGTGGATGGCCAAGCACTTCAGTGCATATAAGGAAAAGGTGCGCAAGTCTGAGCTAAGAGCCGCTGAGATGGAAAAACACGGCTAGGAGAAATATCTCTAAATTAGTAATATCATGGCAATTTTTATAGCAACGCACATTAAAGCAAAAAAGGCAGCAAAATCTCGACATTAAAAACGGAAACCTATTCTTCACCTTGTCAGAGTTAAATTTCTTTGCCCCAGAGTGGGCACTGTTAATACTATTAGTTCCTCCTCAAGTGGTGGCATGAAGCCCTTTGCAATCAAGAAGGCAGAAGATTTAGAAAACAGGTCCTCTGGCAAAAATTGCAAATGATTTTTTTTTTCTCCTACATCTGAGGGTAGAATATAATTATTCAGTCCCTTCTGTGTGATGGACTTATGAGGACAGCTCACAGTAGGTAACACATCTTTCAGTAATTTAAAATTTCTCATACACAGAAACTATAAAGTTTCTAAATGTATTAAGATTAAATTCACATATTTTCCAGTGACTCCAAATAAGTAAAATAGTTCTTTAAGTCATGAAGTGATTATTTATGTTACTTAGTTTTGTCTTCTATCTATACGACCTTATATATGATAAGCTAATAAAGTTGCTGCAACAGAATTAAGCTGCAAATGCTGTTATTTATGGATAAAATATTAATGAAGATAATTAATTGCCGATTGAAAGCAATCATATTTTATCTGGAATCAGATATAAAACAGATTCCATTTTTACTTTATAAGTTGATGAATTAAAGTTTATTCACAGTTATCACTGGATCACTTGGACTATTGTTTTTCTGCATTTTCCATTCTTTCAAAACCTTTACTTGTCCACTTGTAGCAATGAAATTTCATTTCCTCTAATCCCAAACTGTATATCAACAGCAAAATAGAATCACATATTCTGCAGCGTTTGTCTGACCGTGTATTGCACAGCTGACTTGTCTATGGATCTGCATTCATTATACACAGTTATTCTGCCCAAAGAGCTGTTTAAACACACATATCCCAGCTGATGCTCGCATTTAAATTAGATCCAGACTCCTTAGCTTTGTCCCATAAGATTCTGCCTATTTCAACCTCACTTCACACAACTCTCTCCTTACTTCCCATGTCAAACCACAGGGCTTCCTTTGTTATTTGGCCAGGATTTCTTCTTGACTTCCATCCCTCAGGGCATGCTTGTCCCACTAACTAAAATTACCTTGAATGTACTTTTCACATGGTTGCCTCCCTCCTTCTCACTGTTCACGTCTCAAATTTATGTCACTTCAGTGAGGACTTGCCTAAAATCTAAAATTTTCTATTCCTGGCACCGTAAGAGCTAATCAAGACTTGAAATTCGTTTTATGAAATTTCTATCACCTGCTAGATGATAAACTGCACAATTTCCTTATCGATTCATAACTGTATCTCCAAATCATACAAGAGGACAAGGTTCTATATTTAGCATGTATTCAATATATAGGTTTTATCAAATGAATGAATACATAAATCGGTAAGTGACATTAGAATGATGGGGGATTCCTCTCCCCTCTTCCCTTTTTATAAAAACTAATTAGACATCCACTGCCACACAGAAGTGCCTCAAGCACTATACTGAGAAACCTGCAGGTTCTAGTTTATCATCTGAAAATAAAGGGATCTGGTAGAGGCTGCAAATGCCAGGGAGTTGGCCGCCCCCAATTGCAGCAATTGGGAAAGAAAGAACCTGGACAGTACAAAACTGGGCGGATAGCAGGGGCAAGAGAATCAGTCATTTTCCCCCCAACGTTTGCTGTTCAGACACAAATTCTTTCTTTCCATACCCTCTATAAAATTCCTAACTTGTTCAGTCTCTTTAAAAAAATAGTAACCTGCTCCCTACAAATAGAGCATGAAATTCATAAATTCCACTGTAATCATTAGTCTCAGCCTCTTCCATCAATGTTTAACCCAACTATATTAAATCTTCAGTCTTTTCTCCATTCACCCGTATGTTTCAACTTCGAGTTCAAATAAAAGAAAAACAAAAATAAAAAACATCTTCTACCTGATTAACATCTCACAAAACTCTCCCAGATGGCCAAATTTCTACCCTCCCCCCCGTTTTATTTTACTAATCAGAGTGAACTTATGCATTGTATTGTAAAACATTTAAAATTAATTTTCACTGGTATTTTGTAAACATCCTTAGAAGATTCAAGGCCTGATCCTTTCTATCTATATGATCAGAGCACCAATAAAATACATTCACAAAATACATTCATTTGTATTGGGCTTTGGCTTTCTCCGTGAACTACAGCAACTGTGCTCACTGCCAGCAAGCAAGGGAGTCATGGATCCAAAAGGCGATCCAGATGATAACGGTTATGTGCACTTCCCGTGTCCCTATTTTATGAGATGCACTGTGTCACTGACGAAAGAACGGAAACCATTATGGAACAATGTCGTGTGCCACTGTTCACATGTGCCCGCGCCCGCCTTACCAGCGCTGCCGCAGCGGGACGGGGCCGCGGGCCTGCCGCCCGCATCGGAG